CTATCTCAACAAACAAACAAACAAAAAAACTATAAATGTAACTACTAGGAGAAAGAAAAACAATAACATAACCAAAACTGTGTGACAGGCAGTCTGGGTGAGAGAGCGTGGTCGTCCCTAGCAAGGCTGCAATAGCTACTGTCCACAGAAGCCAAGGCTTGAGTAAATTGCATACATGGAAACTTTAAGGGAAGTATTAGAAGAACCAAAACCATGAGAAACCTTCCAAAGGATCCAAGAGGAGAGCAGGCATCCTCACAGGTGGGCACCAACTGGGGAGTCCATGAGAAAAGCCAAGGGCAGGATGGGAGGCCTGGGATGCCAAAGTGTGGTTTCTCTTTGCAAAGTATCTTTCTTTAGTTTAAAAATATGCACGGATGGTGGCATTGGACCAAGATCACCTGCTTTTTGTGCCAGTCGCAGACTGACTTTCCCCTGGCGGTTGTGGGGAAGTAGGAGTCACTTCCAACTTACAGGAATGTTTCCATGTCTTTAACTCTCCTCCAGAAATAATGCAAGAAACCAGTGATCACACCTGTTTATAAGAGACAGACTGGAGGGACACATGCTTTGCACTCTTTTTATTTTTATTTTATTTATTTATTTTTGAGACAGAGTCTCACTCTTGTTGCCCAGGCTGGAGTGCAGCGGCATGATTTCAGCTTACTGCAACCTCCACCTCCCAGGTTCAAGCAATTCTCCTGCTTCAGCCTCTCAAGTAGCTGGGATTACAGGTCCTTGCCACTATGCCCGGCTAATTTTCTTTTTCTTTTCTTTCTTTCTTTTTTTTTTTTTTGAGATGGAGTCTTGCTCTGTCACCCAGGGTAGAGTCCAGTGGTGCAATCTTGGCTCACCACAACCTCCGCCTCCTAGGTTCACGCGATTCTCCCGCCTCAGCCTCCTGAGTAGCTGGAATTACAGGCACGTGCCACCATGCCCAGCTAATTTCTGTATTTTTAGTAGCGATGGGGTTTCACCATGTTGGTCAGGCTGGTCTCAAACTCCTAACCTCGTGATCTGCCCACCTCGGCCTCTCAAAGTGCTGGAATTACAGGAGTGAGCCACCATGCCCGGCTAATTTTTGTATTTTTAGCACAGGCAGAGTTTCACCATGTTGGCCAGACTGGTCTTAAACTCCTGACTTCAAGTGATTTACCCTCCTCAGCCTCCCGAAGTGCTGGGATTACAGACATGAGCTACTGCACCCAGCCACTTTGCACTCTTTACTCAACACTTTTGCATAATTTTTGAGCCATGTGAATATTATCCAACTCAAGAAATCATAGCAGAATACTGAATGCCTTTAAACAAAATGTAACTTAAGCCTAGAAGGTTTCCAATATGAATATTGATTTTGTGGCAAGAGGTGCTGCTTCCAGGCAGAAGGCAGCTGCCAGAGGCCTAAGAATTATGGTTGTTCTCCTGGCTCTGAGGATGCAGGACACTGTTGGGGAATTTTTGCCTCAAGGGGAAACTCCAGCCTGGGGTTCCTGCTCTGTGGCCTGCTCAGTGCTGAGCATGTACTGTAGATGGCTAACTCAATCAGGCATTGCAAAGTTGGGGGTGTTGCTCCTGTGTGATGACCAGTCCTGGTTCCCCTCTTCAGGACTGGGCTGGGGGCTTGGCCATGTCTGTCCTGTGCCCCTGTGCTGCCTCCGGTGGGCGTTCACCACCCTGTCCTGGAACTGCAGGGCCTATGGTGCCAACCCCGCATTGGTGCCTGTGGACAGGTCCTGGGAACAAAATTCCATGGAGGCTGTGTGAGGATTGATAGCTCTGTGGTCATACTGGCTGCCACAGGGTGACGGACTGCTAGGGAAGGTGTCCTGCTGGCTGGAGGAGGAGAAGTAGTGACTGCGATTATTTTTTAATAATATTAAAACCAGGAGCAAACAGGCATGGCTGTGCCAGCCAGGTCATCACCACCGTGAATCCCCAGAGCACTGCTAGCCTCCCGTGAGGCATCCTGTCTTCAACCTGCACCCTGTAGTCCAGCAAACTGAGGCTTGGAGAGGCCACATTGCTCTTCCGTGGTCACACAGTGAATGATTCGCAGAGCGGGATACCAGCCCAGAGGTGTTTCCCCAAAGGTGTGTCCTTCCTTTGAGGGGCCACTGGCTTCTGTTGGAGAGGACACTTCTATGTGGTGGGCCCAAGGAACTGGGACCTGGTGAGGGGATGCTATCCCTTTGCTCACAGATCAGCATGGGTGTTTACTTCTCCCAGGAAGAGTAGGCATGTGAGGCTTCAGCCCAGCTCCCTCATCACTTTCTCACTGGGGATCCCTCTCTGAGCTTCACAGCCTCAGCCTCATCCTCACTGTATGCTTCCTGGCAGGCCTGCAGTGAAGTCTGGCATGGGAAGTGCTGCAGGGATGCAGCAGGGTCCCTGCCTGGATGTGCCGGGCAGTGTAGCTGCTGTAGCAATGCTCTCCTCAGCGTCAGGGTGCAGGGCAGCCAGGATCCTGGAAGCCTCAGACTGGGCTCCCATTGTGTGCACATGGCAGACTCCCTACTCTCACTATGCAGGGATGGGGCACAGGTAGGGGGAAGAGAGGCCTGGAGGAAGAGCTGGCCCTCTCCCTACTCTCACTATGCAGGGATGGGGCACAGGTAGGGGGAAGAGAGGCCTGGAGGAAGAGCTGGCCCTCTCCCTACTCTCACTATGCAGGGGTTGGGGGAAGGGGAGGCCTGGGGGAAGAGCTGGCTATCCCTACTCTCACTATACAGGGGTTGAGGGAAGGAAGGCCTGGGGGAAGAGCTGGCTATCCCTACTCTCACTACACAGGGGTTGGGGGAAGGGAGGCCTGGGGGAAGAGCTGGCTATCCCTACTCTCACTATGCAGGGGTTGGGGGAAGGGGAGGCCTGGGGGAAGAGCTGGCTATCCCTACTCTCACTATACAGGGGTTGAGGGAAGGAAGGCCTGGGGGAAGAGCTGGCTATCCCTACTCTCACTACACAGGGGTTGGGGGAAGGGAGGCCTGGGGGAAGAGCTGGCCCTCTCCCTACTCTCACTACACAGGGGTGGGGGAAACCGGAGACCTGAGGGGAAGAGCTGGCCCTCTCCCTTCTGTCAGTATACAGAGGTAGGGGGAAGGGGAGGCCTGGGGGAAGAACTGGCCGCCATCTCTATGCTGCCTTCAGTATTTTAGTGACTGGGAAGGAACAGCGTTCTAGCAGGGATACCCTTGCCAGAGGCCTAAGGCTAGCAGAGCCACATCCAGGAAGTCTCAGGACACCTGGTCCCCATTGTGGGGAGGGCAGCCTGTCTATTGGAGGCGAGGCAGTGGCTGTGATGGCCACTCTGGGACCTAAGTTCAGAGTCCTGCAGACACCTGGGCTTGGGCCTAGAGGTGGCGGCACCATGGACAGGGCAGGGCATGTGTCCCAGGTCTGTGTGGTGGTGATTAGGATGCTGATGATGACTGGTGATACCTGGGGCCTGATGCGAGGATGCACTTGAAGTCTGACCTCCCAGATGGCGGGCTGGGGAGGGGTTCATTAAACCCTTGGATGAGTAACAAGGTGCAGGAACTGGGAGGACACCTGTGAGCTCAGTCACCCACAAGCCAGAGACCCAAGAGCAGGAAGAAGAGAGAGAGGGAAGGGCTCACCCAAGCAGAGGCCAAGAGGAAGAGCAGAGAGAGGGAGGGTTCACCCGGAGCAGAGGCCAAGATCATGGTTCACCTGAGCAGAGGCTGACAGGAAGAGCAGAGAGAGGGCAGGGTCCACCCCAAGCAGAGGCCAAGAGTGGGGTTCGCCAGAGCAGAGGCCAAGATCATGGTTCACCTGAGCAGAGGCTGACAGGAAGAGCAGAGAGAGGGCAGGGTCCACCCCAAGCAGAGGCCAAGATCATGGTTCACCTGAGCAGAGGCTGACAGGAAGAGCAGAGAGAGGGCAGGGTCCACCCCAAGCAGAGGCCAAGAGTGGGGTTCACCAGAGCAGAGGCCAAGAGCAGGAGCCAAGAGCGGCAGGCAGGCAGTGTGGGATTGCCCCGCAACTCCTCCCCATACAGGGTGAGCCCCCTATGCAGAGGCCGCTCCACAAAGATGCTGCCCTGTCGAGGCCAGAGTGCGGCTCTGTTCCCCAAGGCATCCTCTTTTGTTTAACTCCAACAGTTGGGCTGTCATTAATTTTGTTGGAAGCCACAGCACCCTATCCCTTCTGGTTTTAATCAGCACAGGAGCTCAGTCACCGGACCACATGTTGTCTTTGAGCCAGGGACCGTGTGGACAAGGCCTGTCCAGACGCCAGTGGGGGAGGCCTGAGGCAGCCAGTGGAGAGGGGTGATTGTTAATAAGGAATGTCTGGTCAACCCCAAGCCCATCCTAATTGAGAAACTTAGAGAGCCAGGAGCCTTCCCTCAACTAGGAAGCATGGGGGATTCTGTAAGCAGAGATGCCCTGGCGGGGCTGCTCAGGAGGGGTGGGGCTGCAGAAGGAGCTGAATGGCTGCTGGGCTCCCAGGAGGAAGCTGGGGGTCAGAGATGCAGGCAGATAGGGAAGAGGAAGAAGGGAAGGAGGAGTGGCAGGTGTGGGGCTGCTGTCCTGTCTGCGCAGGCCATGCTGCCGTTGGCAAGAATTAAAGGACTTCCTAAGAGAACAAGGGGGAGGGCCGGCCTGCAGGAGGGAGGGAGAGGCAGGGACTGAGAAGCCATAGCCCTCTGCAGCTCCACAGGGAGCAGGGTGGGACCAGGTCCTTGTGGTATGCTCACCAAGTGCTAGTGTCCTTAGGAAAGATGAACCCGTGTTCACACCTTGTTCCCATGAAGGATGGAGCGGGAAACAAGCTTCACAGGAAATTCCACACAGAGCCCACCATTCATCACAGCCACGAGACTGCCCTTTCCGTGCACAGGCAGTAACCTTCAGCAACAGAGAAGAGACAGATGGCCTTGCCAGGATTTCTACTCCAGGGGCCAGCATGGGGTGTGGGCACAGGATGTCCCTGTACCATGGGCGAGTGACTCAGTGGCTGTCTTCTGTGCCACCTGCCCACAGGGTACCAGATTGCCTACCGCCTGGCCAGCAGCAGCCCCCACACCTTCACCACCGTGGAGGTTGGTGCCACAGTGAGGCAGTTCACAGCCACTGACCTGGCCCCAGAGTCCGCATACATCTTCAGGCTGTCGGCCAAGACGAGGCAGGGCTGGGGGGAGCCGCTGGAGGCCACCGTCATCACCACCGAGAAGAGAGGTAAGACCTGTAGGGACCCAGGCATGCTGCGGACGTGGCAGGTGCTGCCTCCTCAATCAGACCCTCTGGGGTCTTCAGGTACCTGGGAGGCTTTGGCCTTCCCTTCAGAGAAAGAGAAGGGACATGAGCATTTATGAAACACCCACTAGCCCAGGACGGAGCTGGATACGCCGTCCAACAGCATTGCATGTCACACCTTCAGCCTTACACCTCTCTTAGACACGTGAGATGGTCTCAGGTTTAAGGAGAGCAATGTTGCTCTCAGGCTGAGTACCTGGGGCAAGGCCGTACAGCCACCACGTTTGAGGATGAGCTCCCTGAAAGCAGTCCCCAGTCTCTGATATTAAACCCGTATCCCCCGTTGAGCAGGTGCTCAGTAAGTTTTCCAAATAGCTGAATTCCCACTGAGAACTGCCAGGCAAGCAGGGCTCTGTTTGTGGCAGGGGGGCAGGTGCTCCGTGCACTGCCCTTGGCTTATCCTCCCTGGAGCCCAGGGAGCAGTGTGGCATTAGCTCTGTTTCTTACCAAAGAAGAGATGGAGGAATGTGAGAGAATTTTACTAATTTGCCCAGACACACAGCTGTGGAGCTGAGATTTGGACCCACCTGTGACACCGTGAGGCCAGCTCTTCCCGTGAAAGTCTATAGAGGGCGCCCTTCTCAGTGGGCTTCGCGCCTGTCCTCAGACCTTGCATCGTCCAGGGGTGATGCCACAGAACCCTCACGTCAGCAGCCCTGGCTCCCATTCCAGGTCCTGATGTCACGGCCAGACCCAGGGACCTTGTGGGAATGAGGGAGTTTCCAGGTACCCCTGTAGGGACACGGAGCACAGAGCTCTGGCCTCACTCCTATTTTTGTTTTTTTAATTTTTGAAACAAGGTCTTGCTCTGTCGCCCAGGCTGGAGTACAGTGATGTGATCGTAGGTCACTGCAGCCTGGAACGCCTGGGCTCAAGCAGTGCTCCCACCTCAGCACCCCCAGTAGCTGGGACTACAGACGCACACCACCATGCCTTGCTAACTATATTCTGTAGAGACAGTCTTGCCGTGATACCCATCTTGGCCTCCCAAAGTGCTGGGGCTACAAGCATGAGCCACCATATGAAGCTAATTATTTAAATTTTTGTGGAGATGGTGGTGGGGTGGTCTTACTATATTGCCCAGGCTGGTCTCCAGCTCCTGGGCTCAAGCAATCCTCCAGCCTTAGCCTCCCAAAACTCTACAATTACAGGCATGAGCCCCCAAGTTCAGTCCCCCCACAGCATTCAATGAAAGCACATCCCCTCCATGACCATTACCACTGTCATTATTATTATTAATTATTAATGCTATTATTTGGAGGGATGGAAGCCCTCAGTCACTACAGTCACTACAGAGACACCCAAACTGCTTTTGCAGCATGAAGCACATGGAAGAGATGCCCAATGAAGGGGCGCTCCCATCTTCCTGCTGTCATCCTGGGTATCAGCACTCAGGGCTGTCGGCATCTCAGGAAGATGGTAATGACTCTCCCAAGCAGACATTCTGACTTCATTTTCCAATGTACTCATGTGGTTTTATGGTTCATTTTTCTTAAGCATTGACTGTGCCTCTCCCATGAGCCAGGCATGTGTGCAGGTGCGTCACAGAGGCGATCTCACAGCGGGTCCCCTCATTTCCCCACATCCTGCTCCACAGCCCCACCCTATACCATGGCACCTAATTATCGGGCCCAGAGATTTCAGAGATTTTTCTACCAGAGCCCCCATCCTCTGTCCTCATGGCTCAGGGAGAGGGAATCCAAGAGACTTGCTAGTTACCACTGAGGCTGGGAGGGGGCCTTTGAAACAGGAGACCCTGAGCCACCATCCCAGAGGCCAGGAGAAATCACGGGGCCAGGGTGTGTGCTTGCAGAGGCAAGTGTGATGAAATGAGACGGAAGCACTCCTCCCACGCCCGCCACTGCAGGCCGACAATCAATTGCCGCTTTACACACGCCACACATTCTAATCAGAATCAATAATCTTCATGATAAACAATTAAACAATTATTCCTTCCGCTGTGGAGCTTCTCTGCTGAAATCAATGGGGTACAGAGGCACAGCGGTGCCAGATGATGGACACTGCAGAGGCAGTGACAGCCTAGAGTAGCACTGAGTAGAGGCTGTAGATGCTTCAGGCTCTGGGTGACTGCGAGGGGGAGAAAAATTCAGCGTTAAAGGTAGACTGAGCCCAATGTCAGAAAAAGAGAGACCAAAGGGACCACAGGGCTTGGAGCAGCCCCCAAGCCCCTGCAACCCCACCTGTCATCACAGACACAGTGCCTGGTGGTCTGGTGGCCCCAGGACTCCTGTGTATCGGTCTCTGCAAGTAGCATATTCAAAGTTAGTCTAAAGAGAGCCTCTCATCTCCCTGACCCAAGGAAGGGACCAGCTTCAGAATGTCCTATGCATTCAGGCAGCTCTCGTGGGTGGGCAGTCAGCCCTGTACAGCGGTGTAGCCTCCTGGGGATCCTCCTTGGGGAGGGCAGACTCTCACATGCCCCTGGTCTATCCTTGTTTGGTTGCAGAGCGGCCAGCGCCCCCCAGAGAGCTTCTGGTGCCCCAGGCAGAAGTGACCGCACGCAGCCTCCGGCTCCAGTGGGTTCCGGGCAGCGATGGGGCCTCCCCCATCCGGTACTTCACTGTGCAGGTGCGAGAGCTTCCCCGGGGGGAGTGGCAGACCTTCTCCTCGTCCATCAGCCACGAGGCCACAGCCTGCATCGTCGAAAGGTACTGAGAAGGCAGGAGGACCTCAGTGGGGAACCAGGTCCTGGCCACCTCCAGCCAGCTCCTATCCAGATACTGGGGAGTCTATGTGGGGCAAGCAGGCACACCCCTGAGGGCACAGGCCGCCTTTTACTTCGACACTCCCCATGCTGGGAACCCCAGAACTCCTGGGTCCTGAAGCCACTTCCAAGGACCCACTTCCAGCCCCTTCTAGGAGTTTGCTCTTCCAGCTGTGCAGGGCTGGTTTGAACACCCCAGGACCCAGGGATTGGTGAAGCAGAGGTGATAGGGGCTGGATGTAGGGGCTCAAGTCTTGGCCCCTTCCAAGGCTGGCACTGGGGAGGGGAGTATGTGGAGGAGAGTGGGGCCAGCCTTAGGTGTCCCGGGCCAGAGGGACATTGCTTCCCTTTGCATCCTCAAAAGCAGCAGGAAGATGGATGGTGCCATGAGTGCTATGCTTCCTTCGTGATGACTGATGGGGAGACAGGAGGGCGTGCCTGGGATAAGACAAGAATCTGTCCACTCACCCAGTTCCCAGTTATTTAGTGGACCGCTGGGCTCAGCACAGGAGAGGGTTGTGCTGATGGTAGCAGCAGTATCCTGAGGGTCCCCCAGGGTCCTCATGGCTGTAGTTACAGGTCCACCTGCTCTTTATAGCCAAAGGAACTGCCACCATTGCACAAACAGGCGTCCTAGGGCTGAGAAGTTACCCCAGGAGTCCTGCACCCTCACTGTGTACCCTGCCCAGGCTCTCCTGGGGCATGTCGGGTTTATAGGCCCTGCCTGGGCAAGGCCACCTGGGACACCTGCCTTGTGCTTCTCATTTGCCTGGAGTTTGGTCACTTGTCACTGAGCTCACACTCCAGGCTGGGGAGCGGGTTCTTGGAGTGAGTCCAGTGTCCAAGAGCTCTGGAGCCTGCATCAGCACCTAAGAGGGTGGAGGAGCCGAGACGGTGGTCTCCAGACTGGCTGAGCTTCTTCTTTCTCTCAGATGGTCACATAGGTCAGCTTTACATTCCTACAGTCGCCCAGTAAGGGGAGACCATGACCTTCTCTACAGAGGAAGACCAAGGCCAGAAAAGTTGGTCACTTGCACATAGCCCCCACCCAGCCTCTGTGGCACCCAGCTGGCCTCATCTTCGAGGCTGCCTGGCTCAGCCCTGCCCAGCTGAACCTGAGCATAGGGAGGGAGGCAGGTCCCAGATGAAGCCCCTGGCAGCTCCTCATAATACCACCCTCGCCCTATCCCACCCTGCCCTAGACAAAATTCAGGCTTTGGAGTGAGGGCTGATAGGAGTTGGGTGTCACTAGTCCTAGATGTGACAATGGTGAGGTTCAAAGAGAAGAGAAGCCGCCCAAAACTCCCATCCCAGGCTTAAGGACCTAGCTCCTCCCAAGGCTGGCATTGGAAAGGATGGAGGCAAAACACTTGTTCAGGTAGGGTGACCCAGTGGGCGTGTTAGGACAGGGCTGGAACTATGCAGGCTCAGCCTGGCTTCTGCCGCTTGCCGTTGAGTGATCTGGGACAGGTGATGGGTTCTTAGGTATCTCTGGCTCCCTAGAGTTTGAGTTGTGAAGTTTGGAGATGATGATAAGGCCCTCTGGACAGTCACGGCCGTGGATGCCAGTATCACCTTTGCCACCCCCACACGGTGTTCTCAGGAGGTGTGGCTGGATGTCAAATGGAAATCCTGACCAGAGTCCCTGAGTAGCCCAAGACAGGTCACATGGACCCTCAGGAACTCATGCTGCGGCTCCCAGGCCCCCACTGGAGACCACAGACCAAGAAGGAATCCAGCACTCCAGTGCACACAGCCCCAAAGGACTCACCCTGGCACCCTCTCCAGTCTCATGGTCCAAGCAGTCCTCTGCTCTCCTGAAAACTGAGGTGGAATGGTCCCTACACACAGAGCTTGTTTCCAGCAGGTCACTGGCCTCCCATGTGCAGGGCACAGCATCTGGTGAGGTCCATATGGAGGCAGGTTGAAATTTAGCAAAGCTGTTCCATCCCCACAACCGTGGTTATGCTCCTCATGTTAAGAAAGCGAGGCTGGAAGGGGAGAAGGAAAGAAAAGCACACTGCCATGTGTGTTCCTACACAACTGTCTTGCATGCTCTGCTCATGTACCCCAAAACCTAAAATCCAATAAAAAATTTAAAAAAAAAAAGCGAGGCTGCCTGCAGCAACTTCGCCTGGATGTCCCCTCTGAGGTGGTTTCTTTCCCTTGTCATCTAGTCACTTAGCTTCCAGAAGGTAACGCTTTGACAGGACTTCACCATCACCACCACCGTCATCCTCATCGCCATCATCATTGCCAGGATCCCCTCATCCCATCCGGAGTCTGTCATTTTCAACACCACTTCCACGTGTCATTTCATACGATGTTCGTAACCACCACGTGGGCGTACAGACCAGACTTTTCACTATCCCCATTTTACACATGCAGACATTGAGGCAGAGATATCTTAAGTAATGCATATGCTGGTGCCTCAACTTCTCTAAATGGAAGGGATATTTCCTGAGGTGTTTGTAGCTATCATATTCCATGAGCCAGAAGTCAAGGCTTCATAGACACAATCCATGGTCTGCATTTAATTTACAAGGGTATGCAATATCTGAAAACCCAGTGTGTGTGCATCTGAACACCAAGCTCTCCAGTCAGTCTCCCTTAGTAGCCACGTGGCCTTGGAAAAGTCCAGCCCTTGGCTGCCTGCTGGGACTTTGTCTTCTCATCTATGAAAGGCAGGGCTGGAACAGAGATCCTGCTGTTCCTTCCATCTCTGCGAGTCCAAGGTTTGCCTCATTACTGACCGCCAGCAAACTGGCAGCCAAGAAATAAGGCAATCGGAATAGTCGGACTGTCCGTCAGGTTTCTGCCAGCATCCCACTTACCCTTCGAGCAACAGCAATGGACCCCGAGAAGCACAGCCCTCGTCCCTCCAGAGGAAGGCCCTCCTAGTTGCAGATAGCATCCTCCCACAGTCCTGGAATTCTCCTGGCACAGCCTGGAGGGTCAGGGGAGTGTGGCCGGTTGCACCCAGCCTGACTTAGTAAACCACACTGGATGCTTAGCTTAATTGGCAGTGTGCTCAAAGATATAAATAACCTCATCCTTTGTGTAACCATGTGAAAGAAGGAAAAAATATCCAGCCACTTTTCCTGAAGGCTTCTGAAACCAAACAGACTAATTGTGTGCCTGGGACTTCATGTTGGAAAGGAGAGGTCCATGTTTCAGGACCGACAGTTTAATTTGGTATAGGAGAGACCACTGTCAATTTCCTAATGGGCCAGAACTAGGACAAATGCTTCCTCTGCCTATCAATAGAGAGCATGTCACCGGAGAATCCCAGGAAAGTGGTATTTTGTACACTGCCACAGTATAATCTCCCTTCCTGTTTAATAATCCTGACAGCTACATTTTACTTTCACCAGTTGCATAAAATCTGCTAGCATCCAAAAAACATAAAGAGTTTAACTCTCAATTTGGTGACCATGACTGCATCCAGGGAATATAGGTCTAGACCCCCAGGAAGAGGGGTTGGGTTTGAGATGTGTTCAAGCATTGCCAGTGCCTAATTGGTAGTTGAAGTTGTGAGATGGGGTAGCCTCCCACAGAAGTGCAGTGGAGGGAAGAAGAGAGGGTCTCTGAGCCCAGTGTGACTTGGAGGTTCTGGATGTCACTTTAGGACAGAGCAGTGGCCGCATGGGCTCAGTGGGTGGCTGTGCATCTGGGTAGTGATGGGCTTGGCCTCTCCTCTGAGCCCTCCCATGGGATAGATGCAGTGGGTCCAAACAGAAGACAGAAAAACCCGGAGGGAATTAGCACAGAAAACAGCAGGGATTAAATGACTGTCAGCATGCCAGCACTAGCTCCATTCAGGTGACTTGTTTTTTTCTTTTTCCATATAATGTAATTTTAAAAAGTACCAGTATTTAAGAATCAATGGGCTGGGCACCATTGCTCACACCTGTAATTCCAGCACTTACAGAGGCCAAGGCGAGTGGATCACCTGAGATCAGGAGTTCCAGATCAACCTGACCAATATGGCAAAACCCCATCTCTATAAAAACACAAAAATCAGCCGGGTGTGGTGCCATGCACCTGTTGTCCCAGCTACTGGGGAGGCTAAGACAGGAGAATTGCTGGAACCTGGGCAGCGGAGGTTGCAGTGAGCCGAGATCGTGCCACTGCACTCCAGCCTGGGCGACAGAGCAAGATTCCATCACCAAAAAAATAAGAATCAGATGAACTTGGGCAAGGATATTATACATGAGCTTGATATTCTTTGTGATGCAGTAGTGATGTCTGAGTCTTTTTGTTAATTTATTTGGTTGGTTGTTTTGTTTTTGTCTGTCACCTGGGCTGGAGTACAATAGCTGGGTCATTGCTCACTGCAGCCTCCAACTCCTGGGCTCAAGACACACTCCTGTTTCAGCCTCCTGGGCAGCCAGGACTACATGCATATGCTATCATGCCCAGCTAATGCTTTAATTTCTTAATTTTTTTATTTGTTTATTTTAATTTTTTTAGAGATAAGGTCTCTCTGTGTTGCCCAAGCTGGTCTCAAACTCCTAGCCTTAAGTGATATTCTCACCTCCACTTCTTAAAGTACTGGAATTACAGGCATGAGCTACCATGCCTGGCCCATAGCGAATTCTTAATAAACATTTTTAGTGCTTTCCAGAAAAGTAAATAAAGACAGCAGTGAATCACTTTAAAAAGATGCTCAGCACTCATCTATTTTATATCAGAATCAAAATGAATGAATGGAGCTCCTCCTATTTAAGACTCTGTGGCTGGGCATGGTGGATCACACCTGTAATCCCAGTACTTTGGGAGGCTGAGGTGGGTAGATCATGAGGTCAAAAGATCAAGACCATCCTGGCCAACATGGTGAAACCCTGTCTCTACTAAAATACAAAAATTAGCCAGGCATGGTGATGCACACCTGTAATCCCAGCTACTCGGGAGGCTGAGGCAGAAGAATCACTTGAACCCAAAAGGCAAAGGTTGCAGTGAGCCAAAATTGCACCACTGCACTCCAGCCTGGTTACAGAGCGAGACTCCATCTCAAAAAAAAAAAACTGCATTTAGCTCTGAGGGAGGAACGTGGAACTTAAACTACGTCCTTCCCCCACACCCATTCCAGAACACTTTGGCTGTGGAGGTCAAGTTCATGTGTATGATTAGCCATCCCAGGCAGTATGTGTACAAACTGGCTTTCTAAATATATTGATCATTGATTTGGGGTAGCAAGAGTTCCGATAGCAAGTTTGGATAGTGAGGGTCCTGTGTTATCCAAATTATTTATTTCCTGAGTTTGGGATGATTAGAAGAAAGAGGTTAGATGGCAGATGTGATCTCAAAAAGATCCCTTCGTCTATCCAGTTTCTGAGTTTGTATGTGGAGACTTGGGAGGCGAGGCATGGGGAAAAGCAGAGGCCCGGGGAGGTGGCAGGCAGCATTGATGGGTTCCTGGGTACAAAGGAGGGCTCCAGGGTTGGGGAGCCAGAGAAAGCCTTCGAGAAGAAAGGAAAGAACACATCACATGTATTCATTGCCTGCTGCGTGCCATGATCCGTCTAACTCCATGAGGATAGGTGGTGCGATGATGTTTTCATGACAGTTCTGGAAGCCCAGGAGCTGCTGTCTCTATTTCCATGGCCAAATACAGCTTGGCTCTGAGAACCTGACTTGCTCCAGTGAGTAGTGGCAGAGCCAGCGTTGGAATTCTGCTTGGCCCACTCCAAAGCAGAGGTTTGAGCTGGCCTGGCAGGGTGAACAGAGTGCAGAATTGGGGGAATTAGAAGGGTTGCAGGAAGGTGTTTCTGCATCCTATGTGCATTTGTTCTTTTATTGTGGAGTCACCAAAGTCCTGCTCTGCCACAGTAGGGAGCATGGCAGGTGCAATGGAGGTAGGAGTCTCAAGGATCAGACATTTGGGCTGGGAGGTAGACCAGTCATCCACAGGAGCAGTGCTGCAGGGAGATAAAGAGGCAGGATAGGGTGAATGCACAGAGGATGCTACCATCTGGGATCACAAAGCCAGGAGAGGGGATGATAGTGCCACCCTCTGTGTGTCTCATTTGGGCGGTGGGGTTGCTGCTCCCTTAGCTGCTGGAGCTGCTTTCCTCCTGGTTTTGGGGCACTGGTGTTACTTCTGTCGAGAGGGTTAACTCCCGCAGATCTGCACTTTGTGTTCCCTGCAGCTCCCAGAGACACTTCATCAATCCTCGTTGAATGAAGTGAGCCTAGCAAAACACAGGCCTCATGCTAGGAACTCTGCTTTCTGTCCTCCTGCGCACCCAACCCCATTTGTCTGGGAGCCGGGCTGATTTGTCCAGCCACCTGACATGCACTTACAGCACACCATGTGTGCCCGGCTCAGCGCCAGAACCAGGCAGGACAGCGGAGAAAGAGGAGCTTCAAGGAGCTTGCAGTGTGGCTCCAAACCCCCAAATTGTAGCAAAGTATGAAATACTAAATGGTGTGGTGCTGAATATAACTGCAAATCAGTGCCAGAGGCCAGCGAGAAAAATAAATAAATAAATAAACATAATTGCAAATAAACAAACAAGTAAACAAATCATTTCTGCAACACCTACTGTGGGCCAGATACGTGTTTACATGTCCTCATAGGCACCCCTCCCCCTGCCATGCTGAGAAACTTCGGAGATGGGGAACAGCACACTCATTCGGATCTGCCTTCTGCAGATCTGCCGAGCACCTCTTGGGTGTTCTTGGCTCTTGGGGTACAGCAGAAAAGGAGGCTGACTTGGTCCCTGTCCTCGTGGATGTCCCTGTTCACCTCACAGGTGAACAAGGCAGGGAGGTCACATCCTCGTGGATGTCCTGAAAAGACAGTCATCAAGGAATTGTCACCCATTGTGATGCAGAAGATGAAGGGAAGGAACAAGGTGCAGGGGACAGCAAATGGGGCCGTCTAAGCAGATATTTACGGATCCACAAGAACAGCTGATCCTTCGCGAACTTGCACCATGTGCCTGACTCTGCTGAGTGCTTCACCTGAGTTTAAGCCTCACGTCTGTTTCACAATGCCTGTACTATTATCAGCCCAGATAAGGAAACTGAGGCAAAGTATGCGGTCCAAGGTTAACTGGGAGGTAGAAGCCAGGTGGTTTGACTTCATGGTCCAAGTTCCTAATGCTCACTCTGCTGCCTCCTGGTACAGGAGGAGAAGGAGCCAGTGGGGCTACAGTAGGCAGTGCAGGTGGATGAGGCTGGGAGGCAACAGGAGGCCACATAACATGCGGTTATCACCCAGACAAGACAAAATAACCTCTAGGATGTAGGAGCAGAGGGGAAATTGTTTGTTTTAACTTAGCAAAGGCTGTCTCCCAGAAACCTGGAGCAAAGGTCATTTTTATGGCTGGACTTCAGAAGCATCTCCATTAAAGCTGGGACCAAGGCCAGGTGCCTCCTGTGGCTGTTTTTCCTGTTTTGGATGCTAAGTGCAGAGGGTCTGAGACGTGCCTACAGTCAGGGACTGGGAAGTAGCAAGACCAGACCAGGTTCTGGAGAGCTGCAGTGGAAAGGCATGCCTTGAGGTGTGAGCTGGTAGAGAAACTCTGTAATCTAGTCTTAAGCAGGACAGTGACATGAAAGCAGCAATAGAATCTGATCATAATTTCCAAAAATGGTTTTCAGTTTTCTAAAAAGCAGAATCCTTCCCTTAAAGCAGTTATGACCCAGGCTGAATGCATAGACCCGACGAGCATAGAGATGCTGCCAGCTGGCACAGGCTGTGTGGGGCTCAGGACTTCAGAGGCCTTCGGAGTCCTGAGGTCCACAGGGCTCCTTTTGAAAGCCACTGGTTTACAGATTCCATTGGGAGGGAGGACGGAAGATGGTTTTTCAGGTGATGAGGGCTTCAGCTTAGAGTGATCATTTAGGAGATTTTAGATGTGGGGTATAGGGGTTGAGAGTCCTGAAGCACCCCAAGTTTCCTGGAAACTGAGAGGAGGGTGGAGCCCTCACCTGATGCAGAGCCACTGCCCGCCAGGAAGAATAAGAGAGCAACTTTCTTACTTGCTCATTCTGAAGTCACATGAAGGGCATCTGAGAGAAGCCAGCCAGCCAGTGACTGAGCACGCATGGGATGTAGGGTGGGTCCGTGACCCACTGGGGCTTGACCAAGATCCCAGCATCATGTGCACAGAAGAGTGTGGCTGAAGGCTTAGTGTCAGGAATGGCATGGGACTTGGCACAGGAGACCCATTGCATGTAGAATGGCTGGATGGAGGGAGGGAGGGAAGGAAGTGGGGGATGGAGGGAAGGGAGGGAAAGAGGGAAGGTAGGGAGGGAGGGAGGGAGGGAGGGAGGGATGGGGGAGGGGAGAAGGAAGGAAAAGAAGGGAAAAGGGAGGGAAAGAGGGAAGGGAGGAAAAAGGGAGAGAAAGAAAGGAGGGAAGGGAGGAGTGACGAAAGGAAGGCGGGAAGGAGAAAGGGAAGGAAGGTGGAAGGGAGAGGAGGAAGGAGGGAAGGGAAGAAGAAAGGAAGGAAAGAGGGAAGGGAGACCTACAAGGAAGGAAGGAGGGGAGGAAGGAATGAAGAAAGGAATGAGGAAAGGGAAGAAAGAAGGAAGGATGGAAAGTGGGAAGGGAGGAAGAAGGGAGAGAAGGAAGGAAGGAGGGGAGGGAGGGAGGGAAGAAGAAAGGACAGAAGGAAAGTGGGTGGGCAGATGGAAGTAGGCCTGAAGTGGTAACACCAAAAGGCACCTCAGGGAAGCCTTGGTGCTGTTCACATCTTCCAAGGTCCGGGAGGCATTTTTCACTTGGACGGACGGTTGCCAGGGATGTAGTCTTATGTAAAGTGATATGTGAATGTTGCCATTTACTAGTCCTCCAGCAGTGGGCCTCAGTTTTATCATCCTCAAAATGGGAATAATGATGCCTCCTTTCACAGAGCTCACACGGGTTGAAAGGAGTTGTGCTTGCCATGTGCCTGGCACCATGTCAGCCCCAGTGAACAGCAGGGATATGGGGCTGGTGGGTCTTTCTCTGCAGCCAGACAGGACCTTGGAGAGGCCTTCAAGGCTGGGCCTGGCCAGTAAAGAGCTCCAGGAGGACGAAGCATGAGAATCAGACAGGAACTCACTTTATACTCCAGATCAGCACAAGGGCTCCAGAAGTCAGCTCTTCCTGAGAAATTCCCGACATTCCTTGGGGAGCAGTGATGTGCTGACTGGAGTGCCAGGGCAGCTCCAGTGAGGGGTTGGCAGTGCCTCCCCAAGGAGCCCTGAGTAGAATCTTCCCCCAGCCAGGATGCCCTGTACTCACTGCCCTCCGTGCAGCTCCTTTCCCCCTGAGGATTATGGTAGCCCAGGTGTTCAAGGGCTTCTCCCAGGACAGATTCAGGTCCCCTTAAAGCCCCTGTTCACTGCACCTGGGAAGTGACTGGGTCTGAATCAAGAACAGTTTCCCCGCTAACCTGTCTCAGACTCGCACAGGAGCCTAGAGTCCCAGGGCAGGGGAGGGATTTGCCCCTCTTCCCAAGGCTTCACCAGGGGCACCTGAGGGCAGGGCAGGGTGGCAGAGCCTCAGCAATCACGGTCTCTTCCACATTGCAGGCTAAGGCCCTTCACCTCCTACAAGCTGCGCCTGAAGGCCACCAATGACATTGGGGACAGTGACTTCAGTTCGGAGACAGAGGCGGTGACAACACTGCAGGATGGTGAGCAACCCAGGACACAGTTCCTGGCCACTGCCCCTGGACCCTAGAACACTGAGGCCCCACTTTCATCCTGAGCCAGAAAGGGGTCACCAGGGAGTGATAAGCGGTAGAATTCCATTAGTGACAGGCAGCTTGGAGGGTTTCCGCACAGCCTGTGATCATAAATCAAGGCTTCAAGGGCTTCCAAATGGAATGGAAGTTTCTTTGATTGGCTTCCAAAACCCCTACTATCCATTAGCATCTCAGAAATTGAATAATTGATAGGGTCATTAAAAATAAATGTCAGTGGGTATCTGGGTTTTAAGAGATTTTCCCAATTTTTCTCATTCGCAAGCCACTCTTTGGCAACAGTGCAGGTAAGTAATAGGAAGTGAGGTCTCCTCCGAGCTCCAGGTGGCGTTTTCACCCTCTCCATCCTACCTCTGTGGCACTGGGCCTGAAGATGGATTGTCCTTCTGTGTGGCCCAGGCCTGTGGTAAGCCCAGGAGGCAGCTCTGTCACCCACATCCAGCAGTGATCACAGGACGGGTAGAGTGGAAAAGAATGGATGGTGGGTAATAGCTTAGCTCCCAGGCTGGAAACCAAGCACTTAGTTCACCCAGCAGTGCTTCATCATCATTCCCTCAGCCTACCCCCAAAGCACTGTCTTTACCATTTAAGGCTCCAGTGGAAGAATTTTCCAATACATCAGTTTCCAAATGGCTCACTCTGTGACCTCACATCTTCAGTTCTGCTCTCTCGATGACCTGGAAGTGTGGTTTCTCCCACACAGGCCTCCCTGGACCTCAGGGACCAGCAAAGGGGTTGAGCAAACCATTCCCAGCTTCCCAACAACTCACAGAGGCTGTTTTGCTGCAAACCCTGCTAACTCCCAGCAGACCAGAACCTGCAAGGGGCTCCAAGAGGCCCCAGCTATACTCCCAGGAAAAGCGTACCTGCCCCTAGAGAAACACTGGCTGGCTTTTACAGCTCCTGCCTCTCACCCAACTCTTTGCTGAGCCTGAATCCTGGGAGTTTGTTGGAGCCTTAGGGAAAGCCAGTGAGGAAGAGAGGAGCCACTCTGGGTATATGGGGTGGTCCAGGGCCTTAGTAAATGGGCCCTGGGGAGCTGGGATCAGCCCCAGGAGCTCACTGTCCAAGAGTCCCACATCCTTGAAATGTTGAGGAAAAAAATATATATATGAATTAAAGAAGTACAATTGTAACAACTCTGTATTTGTTTGGAGAGTATTATGACATTGTACAATTTATAGGTTACTCAAGAGAGCTCCTACAATTATAACAATGATACAAATGCATAACATTGTACAAATGTATAACAATGTATAACATTTGTTACAAATGTATAACAATGTATAACTTGTTACAAATGTATAACGATGTTATATAACAATGTTACAAATTATAACATTATAGGAGGTCTTATGAGTAACCTAGAAAGGATTTAAAGTATTCAGGAGGATGTGTGCAGGTTACATGCAAATTCTGCACCACCTTATAATAGCAAACCTGGAGGCCAAGGCTACTTGTAACTGGAAAAGCCTTTCCAGTTAATCCACTTAAAGTGGGGACCAGTTTTACACTAAACCACAAGGGAAAGGCTTTGCAGGAACTAACTTACAAAACAAAAACTATATAAATGCATTCATGTTAACCTTACCTTTAACACAATTGAGGTAATATTTGCAACTAAGCACTAAATCTTAGAATCAAGAACAAAAACCCACACTAGCTGATATTGTGGTAACCTCCCTGATAGATTGTGTAAGAGCGAAGTGCAGCAGCCTCCTTTGACCTCCAGGGTGCCATCCAAAAGGACCATTTATGAAAAAAAATATTCAAGAGGCCTGACTTATCCTTTGATATACAAATCAGGCTTTGATACACCTATCTTGTCATTGCCTTGCCTGGGATGTGCAGTTTCATTTTGCAATGGATTTGCATTGTATTTCTGTTGTATTGTCTTACACTATCTAGAGATTGACAGGCACAGACTCTCTCCAGGGGGTGGGGAACCCTTAGCAAGATAGGGAGAGTCCTCTGAGTATGTGGATGGTTTACTGATGAACAGTTTCTTTTTACAGTGATTTCTATTTCCCTGCACAACCTCACAACTCGAGAACATTGAGAACTCCCTATAATGGTACTGCTGTGTCACCAGGGTGGTCAGGAAACTGGCTAGAGGGCCCACCATTAAGCTGGAACCGCATGAGGTTGAGGGGAGCTGGAGGGAGACCTGTCCCTAAAGCAGAATGGGGAGGATGGAGGTGTGACTGATGCAGGCACTGCCAGGCCCAGAAAAGAATCACAGAGCAGGTGATTCTCTGTGCTGAGTGGAGAGGTGTCTGCTAGATGCACAAGTGGACCTATGGGAAGAACATCCTCATTCAGTTCAAGTAAATATGGACTGGATGCAGAATATGTGTCAGGCTTCTGCTGGGCCTCAGGGATCTTACAGCTGGGAAGGCAATATGCCCAGATAGGACCATATAGATTCAGAGGGAGTAGAGGAGACGGGAAAGAAGGGCATGGAAGACCTCCTGGATGTGGTAGATGACGAGAAGGTTAGTTTGGCCAGAGTGCAGGGCATGGCCATGAACAGAGGTCAAACCAACCTTGTCCCTCCAGAGAGCAGAGTAGATCTGTGGCAGATCCCCTTCACTCTGCTGTCCCAGCCATTTGCAGCCTCACCAGAAATTGACCCCCTTTCCTGACAGCCCTTTAGCATTTCAAACGAAGTGACCTGGCATGATCATGTGTCCTACTCAGGAAAAGTAGCTCTCACCTAGGTATCTTAAAATAAATAAATAAATAAATATATGTTTCCCCCACTCACAGAAGATCCAAACCCTGCAGGGAGGGTCTCCAGCCAGACTGCTCCACAATGCCCTCACTGGAGAAGTGCCTCTAGGAACGTCCACCATGGGGAGAGCCCAGTCTGGGTCTGTTTCTCAGGGCCATTGTTAGGGTTCAGTCCCTCCTATCCCAGACACAGGCTTTGAAGAAGCTCCGGGAATCCCTGAGGAAGGGCAGGAGAAGGGGACCCCTGGAGAAGGAAAGAGGCAGGGCTCATCAGCTTACCACGTACCCTAGGGTGGCCCGGGGAAGGGCAGCGGAACATAACCACCACCCAGACACCTGCTTTCCCCTCCTGTGTTTTCAGTTCCAGGAGAGCCCCCAGGATCTGTATCAGCAACACCGCATACCACATCCTCTGTCCTGATACAGTGGCAGGTAAGAACGAGGAGAATCGTGTGTTTTGTCAAAGGTGTTCTCGTTTTCCTGTGCATTCAGCCATGATGGTTGGACATGAACTGCAAGCCCAGCCCCGAGCTAGGCGTTTGAGAGTAGAACTGAGGGGACACCCCCTCAGACTCACAAACGCAAGTGGGAAATGGTGTCAGTCGTCATCTCGGTGTAGTTTCCAAAACATTAGAAGCAGGACTGTGATGCACGTAGAGAATGAACTTGACAGTGCTTATTCAGGAGGGACCGGCAGTATGGGAGGCCAGTCTGAGAGCATTGGAGGAACTGAGTATGTCTTTGCATTTGACCAGGGACACTGGAGCAAGGCTTTCATGTATACACAAATTGGTTATCACCCTCCAGAGCAGCAGTAAGAGTTAGCTTTACTAGAGAACTCATCTGCAACCAGACAAAATATCTACTGGATTGTACATATTTTCCCATAGTCTGGGTCTATATTTATTATTATTATTATTTTGAGACAGAGCCTCACTCTGTTGCCCAGGCTGGAGTGCAGTGGCACAATCTTTGCTCACTGCAACCTCTGCCACCCAGGTTCAAACGATTCTCCTGCCTCAGCCTCCCAGGTAGCTACGATTATAGGTACACACCACTATATCCAACGAATTTTTGTATTTTTAGCAAAGATGGTGTTTCACTATTTTGACCAGGCTGGTCTCTTAACTCCTGATCTCAATTGATCCACCTGCCTCAGCTTCCCAAAATGCTGGAATTATAGATAAGCCATCACGCCCGGCTAAGTCTGAGTCTTTAATCTCCAGCAAGCAGTGAGTCAACCAAAGACATATTCTTCCAGATAAACACAGAATCCTTGGTGGGGCCTGTTCAGCAATGCTCCAGTAAGGCATTGAAGGACATACTGCTGTCTCTTTCCCTTAGTTTCAATTTTCGGCAATGTTTACTAACAAGTGCATTGATGGCAAAAATAACAGAGTGACAAACTGCCCAAGGAAGGTCTGTAGGCCTCAGGGACATCCCAGCTGAAGAGTGGGGTGGGGATCTGCATGGAGGACTTGGCCCAGAGCTCACGTGGCCTGGGTCTGGGGCAGACAGATGTTGAGTTTCCTTGGGGCTGGAGGTTGGCCTGGCAGCAGACACAACAGACAGACAGGCAGGGGGCCAAGCATGAGGGCAGAGTCAAATCTTCTGGCCCACAGGGAAGTTTCCAAGGCCAGAGTGGGGGTTGCCCTGCTGGGGAGCTGGGAACACAGTGGAATGGGGCTGGCATGGGGCCAGGTCAACCTTGGAGTGGCTGCTGGGAGCTGGGGTCGGGAGGGCGGTCTGGTGGATGTGAGATTCTTCCTTGGAGCTGGTGCTGTCCTCAAGGACAGTGGCAGGGTCCCTGGGGCATCAGGTGGGAACGATGGTTCAGGTAGTCAGGAGAAAAGCAGGAGGGGAGAAATGGTCTGGACATGACCTTGGAGAGCGATGCACTCCGCTGGCATGGGGAGGACCACGGGGTTCTGTGGAAAGGAGAGGCTGTGGAAAAGGGCAGGGATGCTGGGAAACCCAGCTGAGGCCACATGGGGATGTCCCAGACAGAGCATCTCCTAGGGCCCTGCAGAAGGGCGACTCCAAGGGGAGTGGCCTCACTCTGTAGCACGGAGGATGACAGCCAGGGCCAGGCTAAGATAGGAGGTGCCAGAGATGCCTGCTGGGCCAGAAGAGAGACATGCTGAGTGAGCGGTGTCAGCCACCTTCCTGGGCATGGGCTTGAGTTGTGTGGTGCTGGAGATGCTGGAGAGGAACCTGGTGAGAAGAGCCTGGGTGGGCTGTGGATGGGGCTTGCTGGAGGGATCTTGGGAGGGGCTCCGCTTCCCCCTCTTGCTGTATGATCCTGTGATATATGATCATGTTTGAAGTATGAAAATGGCAATTTATGTGATTCAACCCCATTTCACTTGCTACTACCACTTGTTTGAGGGTTCTGTGAAGAACACATAGTCTCCTTCATGTGTCCATGGAGGTGTGGGGGGCTGCTTCCTGGACACCTTTCTCTTGCTAAGGGATCCAGCTTCTCCAGATAAGATAGAAACCTTTCTAGGGGATGAAAGAATGTCCCAGTGGCTCCTGGTGGAACTGGAAGAGTACTGCTGTGGCACTCGGCCCTGCTGAGTTTACTAGAGCTTAGGGGGCCAGAGTGGGAACCAAGAAAACAGCCTGGGCCCAATCCCTGCCCCTGGGAAATCGCAGCTTCTGATCTGTCTGGGAGCCACTGGCAAAATGAGGAAGGACTTCCCACTGTGTTTCCCAGGCTGGTCTTAAACTCCTGGATTCAAGCAATCCTCCTGCCTCGGCCTCCCAAAGTGCTGGGAGTACAGGTATGAGCCACTGTGCCCCACCTGTAAGTGGGTTTTGAGGCTGTGTTCTAGAATTCTAAGCAGTTGATCACACCCTGAGGGAGGCTCTCAGTGGAGGATGTACTCGTTTCTAACAGGCACCTTCCCAGAGGAGGGTTACAGCTGCCTGGGCAAAGGTGGGGAGGCATCCTGCCTCTTCAGAATGCATCTTGGGGTTGTTTCTCTTCACTTGTGCCATCACTCACAAAGGACCAGCTCCTGTTTGGGGTGCTAAGCTCCGGAGGGGGACCAAGGCAGGCTGCAGAATGTGAAGAGCTTTCATTAAGTACAGTGGGCTCTATAAGGTGTTGCTCAAAAGACAGTGAAGGAACAAAACTAACTCTGGCTAGAGCAGCACCTGAATGTACTTTGTAGGACAGACAGGCCCTTGCAGTAAAAGGCTGGAGAAGTGTGTGGCCCCTGGCACAGCCTGAGCAAAAGCTTCTGGGTGATGTTGCTGGTGTTTGATGCCATGTCTCGCATGGGATGGTGTGTTGGGCCTCCTGTGCTCTCAGACCCATCAGGACTGAACTCTTTCCACTCTCTATGAAGCAGAAGGCACAGCATGGAAACTGAAAGCTCAGATGCCCAGGGAATCATGGCAGATGGATTAGGTTTGGATTTGGCCACCTGCTCTGCCGAACTCACGTGAGGCAGTGGCATAGTTGAGCTTCCCTCAACCCAGCTCCCTGTCTCTAGAACTCGGAGAGTTAGGCCCTGCCCCACTGCCCCTACCCCCAATCCACCCCCCATACCTCCTGCTCAGCAGAGGGATCTGGGCAGGAGATTACACAGATGCCAGCAACCACAGGGGGCCCAGGGGACACCTTATGGGTAGCTGGAAGGAGGGAGGCTCCCCATGGACGTCCTGCCTCCTCCCACCCCCAGGCCTTCCCTCCGCTCAGCCCTGTAGCCTCCAGATTGCCCACCTTAGCAGCTCTTCCGGCTCTTCCCCGCCCCTGAGCACTGACTTCCTCCTGCCTCCCACATCTGGTGATAAAATCCAGGCAGACTCCTACCAATTCATTTGCATTTAAACAGGGGCTTTTGCCTTGGCCTATAATCCCGCACTTTGGGAGGCCAAGGCAAGTAGATCATGAGGTCAAGAGATGGAGACCATCCTGGCCAACATGGTGAAACCCCATCTCTACTAAAAAGACAAAACTTAGCTGGGCATGGTTGCCCATGCCTGAACTCCCAGCTACTTGGGAGGTGGAGGCAGAAGGATTGCTTGAAACCTGGGAGGCAGAGGTTGCAGTGAGCTGAGATCGTACCACTACACTCCAGCCTGGTGACAGACAAAAACAAACAAAAAAACCTAGGGGCTTTTGAAAAATGAAGAACCTCCAGCAGTCTGCTGGCGGAATTTCTGATGCATGGCAGGCAAAGGGAAGGTGTTTTGAGGAAAGGCTTCCAGTTCCCTTCAAGCTTTTCTCCACACAAACAGCCAAGCCAGTGTGCAGTGACACACAGATGAGGCCATCTTGAACTCCAGCTCTGACTGAGCATCTGCCATGGCCGAGGCCTGGCCCAGGTGCTGAGGGCATTTAGACATGAACGCAGCCCAGACATTGCCCCCAGGAGTATGCAGAGTCAGAGACATGTGAAGGACTGGGACACCGGTCTGCAGTGCAAAGCGAACCTTTTGTTTCAAGTCATATAATACTCTGGGGACCATGTAGCGAGACTTCTACCTGTTCCGGGCATGGGGTTGAGCCTGGGAGTTTTGAGCAGCCAGCCCAAGCTTATACTGCAAGGTGGCTGCAGGGCCAGTACCTGAATCTGGAGCCTGACCTTGACCTCGTGGGTGCATTGTAGCTGTCATACTGACGCCTCCAAAGCACCTCCAGAGTTGGAGAGCCTCTTTCACAGATTACAGACAGGTTAATCCCAAAGTCCAGAATGGAAACTGGTTGAACCCAGTTCAGAACCCCATGCAGGCAGGCCTGGGCATCTCTGTGAAGCCACCAGACCCTTTATAAGGCTCCCACTGGGAAGATGGCACTTGCTAACAGAGAGACCTATGCCAGCTGCTGCCTTTAAGCCACCCCCTCTGGGGGTACGGGCTGCCTGTAACCCCTCCCCAGGCCTGAAAGACTCCTGCTGGGAGGGGATGCATTTATGCATTTTGACTCTTCAGGGATTTCTGGTGCAAACAGCATCAGTTAGCCTGTTGGCCAAACATGGCCCTAGCCCGCTGGCTGATGGACATTGTGCCTGTTGGGGGAGGGGGATTGGCCTCTTCTCCTTATACCTCTAAATTGTCCCATCTGCCTTGGCTAGAAATATCTGTAAGTCCAAGCTCAGTAACACTCAGCCCCTTCCCCTCCACCTTCCAGCCCCAGAGACTGAGAAACCATACTTGGTCCCCAGGGAGAACAGTTTTATTTTCCAACCTCCTAACTTTCTGCTTAGTTGATAGTTTTGGTGAAATGAATCCAGTCCTCCCCATCCCACCCAAGCTTCCCCCAAAAGTAAATTGCTCTCTCTGTAATCCTGTCTCGTCTGTGTCTGCAGAGCTGGCTGGAGGCCTCTGCAGTCTTCCTGCTGAGGTCTCAGTGCCTGGAGCTGCCCCGGGTCTAATCTGGGGTGAGAGGGAGGCTTTGAAGGTGACCTCGGGGTAAGGTT